CCCGGCCCGGCCCGCACTGCGCTCCGCGCTGAGAACGGCCATGCCGCCGCGGCGCAGCATCGTGGAGGTGAAGGTTCTGGACGTGCAGAAGCGGCGAGTGCCCAACAAGCATTATGTGAGTCGGCGGCCATCGCCAGCCCCGCGCGAACTTGTGCTCCGCGCCCCCATCCTCGCCGTGCCCCATCCCTGCCCGCCCCGCTTTGCCTCCCTGCGCCGGCCCCCTCTCCCCTCATCCATGCCCAAGTCTGCTGTTGCGGACAGAGACCCGCAGCAGCGCAGATCTCAGGCTACCGTCTGGTTCTAGGCGCCCAGCCGGGTGGACCCGGCCACCCGGAACCCCTTGGGGTGCCAGGCCTGCCCCATCCCTCTGGGAGACCGCCGAGCTCAGGGCATGGGTCATTTGCGTGCCCCCCCCCACCCCGCAGTAACTTCGGTTTAGCCATGTGGGAAAGTTTCCCAGGAGTACCCCTCTGTGGGATGAGAATCTTGCTTGGTGCTGGCTAGGTGTGGAGAAAATGGGCCCTTGGCGTCAGTTTTCAGATGCGAAGGTTGAGGCCCAGAGGCTGCGGGTTCCAGAACATGGAAGGTGGGCCTAGAAGGTGGGAAGTGATCTGCGGGGCAGCTTGGGGGCCATGTCTGCGGTTGGAGTGACCCTGGGCCCACCTCAGGGGTTGTGGGTGGTGGATCCAGAGGACACCATTAGGGACTGGCTCGCTACAGGAGGGAAGGGGGATGGTGTCTCTGGCGGTAAGAAGAGACCAGACCAGGAAAGAAAAAAAGAGCAAGAGGGAGGGAAAAAACCCTAACAAAGAAGTGCAGAACAAAGAGTTAGAAAAGGGCGTTGGCTGGAGAAAGGCGGGCCGGGACCTCCCTGGAAGCCCTCTGGGTTCTAGTTGTTGAAGAGACTTATTCTTACAAAGCACAGTGGCATGCCTTCCATGAATCGTCCATAAAATTCTGGAAGGAGAGAGCTGGGAATCCAAGGCACCCTACAAGCAAGGGTGTGCGGTGTGAGCATGTGTTGTTATTGGCTGTTCCTCAGCCCTGGCTGGGCAGCAGGGAGCCACTTCCCGGACCTGTGGCATCTTTAAATAGAGCAAAGTTTCCCCTGCTTCCAAAGCTCAGCTAAACTGCCTTGGGTTTTTTTTTTTCCCCACCCACTCTTTTCCCTTAACTGTTTCAAATATTGCCAAATTTTGGGTTCTTGTTGGAGCCTGTCGAGTTACCTCTTTGGTATGGGACAGTTTTCAGCAACCCAGCCACAGGAAGTCTAGAATACTCCATGCTGCTTCCCACCAGATCTGAGAGCTGCCCAAACCAGGATACAGTCACCAAGGACTGGGCATCATTCATTACCCACTCTCTCCTGTCCTGTCCTGTCCTACACATTCAGTGGCAGTTGTCTTAAGTCCATTTTCACAAATGAGGATATAAAGCTCGGGAAGATGAGGGCCTTTGCTGGAGGCCACAGACAGGAGCAGAGGAGGGATGTCAGTCCAAGTCTTTTGGACCTGAAAGGTATTCCTTCAGATCAGATCCCACACCCCTAACAGAGGTCCCAGCAAAGCCCTCTCCAAAGCCTGGGCATCAGCTTGGTCCACACCTCCCTGCCAGGGTTTGCAGGGTCCAGGGGTACTCCTGAGCTTTCAGCCACTTGTTAGTGGCCCACTGAGCCAAGCCTGTGTTGCAACCTAGATTGGGGCTCAGCTCTTGGCTTCACAGGGTACTAGACATGTGACTTCTGAGCACTGGTTTCCTCATCTGTAAGATGGAGTTGGGGGATGCCTGTGTCCCAGGGGCAGCCACATGACCAGCAGGAGTGGCTTTCCTTAACTGTTAGCTTACTGACCCCACAGTGTCTCTCTGATTGAAAACTGCTAAAGTCACACAGGAACTTGTTCCAAGATCTTGTTTCTTTGTGTGCAGGCTTAGTCACTGCTGTAAGTCAAGGGGTCATCTTCTTGCTAGTCTGCCTTTGGGTTCCCCAAATAAGGAAGGGCAATGGGGGTGAATGCAGACTGAGTCATCCACAGAAGCAGAATATGGTGGCCATCAGTGCTTCTGTCCCCAAGCCTTGCACACTCTGGAAGGAATGGGCCTGCAGACAGGTGTTGGCAGCTGGATTCTGACACTTACTTGGTGTGCCCTTTTCTGAAACAACTTTGGAGAGGATGCCAGCAGGGCAGCTGGACAGCATCCTCCTATGTAACACTGAATGATTAGTGTACCACTTTGGGCTCTGGCTTCCATGACATGCAAATTGTAACTACTGCCCTGTTCCCTCTAAGGGCCAGGTTTCTCAACTTCAACACTGCTGATGTTCTGGACCAGATCATTGTGTGTTCTGGGGCTAGGCTATGTGTTGAGGGATGGTCAGTGGTGTCCTTGCTCCGACTCTTAATTCAGCAACTTTCTTCTCAGTTGTGACAACCAAAACTATGGCCAGATATTGATTTCTGCATGTCCTTTTGGGGACTATTTTAGTCAGTTTTCCATTGCTATAGCTAGATACCTGAGGCTGGGTACTTTGTAAAAAGGAGAAGCCCAAGAGTGTGTCATTTCCTCAGTTTGGCTTCTGGGAAGGCCTGCTTGGCTATACCACAGCGTGGTAGGTGACATCATGGTGGGAGCGTGTATAGAGAAAGGGATCTCATGGTGAGACTGGAAGCCAGAGAGAAGGGGGAGGGGCCAGCCTTGCCCTTTTATGACAATCCCTTTAGGAACTTACTGAGGTCCCAGAAGAGCTACCTTAATCCCTTATAAGGGCAGTACAACCAAAGACAAACTGCCTGTCACTGGGCCCCGCCTTTTAAAGGGCCCCACTACTTATCGTGTCACCACACTGGGGATCAAGCTTCCAACACAGAACCTTTGGCTATGGACACACCGTATCCTAAACCTTATTAGAGGCAACATCTCTCACCCCTGTGTCAATCATAGCACCACAGTGAAATGTGCAAATCAGTTTGGAATGTCCTGACTGCTATGATCCCCCGCCCCCATCCATGCCTGGAAGGACCAGGTTAGAGGTGCTGAGAGCCAAGGGTGCCTGAGGCTCAGTGCCAGTCTCCCTGCTCCACCTCCACCTGAGCTGCCTTCACTTGTGGGCAGGGTCAGTGTTGACACTGTGTGTGTCATCCTGCTATGCTGGTCCTGCCCCAGTCTGGGTTTCAGAATGAATGTGAAGGGTGACATACCAGGGCTACCCTTCCTGACTGGGTTGGCTTCTAGCAGCCTTTAGGATCTGGAGGTCTTTTGGGGATCCCCTCCCTTGTGCTGGTGAGGGATGCAGAGAGCACTTAGTTGGAAGAATCTCCTAGGCCTGATGAAGCAGCTGTCAAAATCAAGGACAATGGGGGGTGGGTGGCGGATGGATGACAACTCAGCAACCACAGCAGTACAAACTTGAGGTAATGTTGCATCTGCCTAGCCAAGCCCAGGATGCAGCCCTTTGAGGTGGTATTCTTCCACCATGTGAATCCCTACCCATATACCTTCCACATCTGCTGGGCTCTGCACTTTGTATGGGCTTCACTTCAGAGCCTTCCTGTCTTTACATTTAAAATAAACCACTAAAGAGGCCACCTAATATGCCCCATTGCTACATCCCCTTCCAAACTATGACCCTGAATTTCTTATTTATCATTCCCACACATTTGTGTGTGTGTGTGTGTGTGTGTGTGTGTGTGTGTGTGTGTGTCACTGAATAGCCCTGACTGGTCTGTCCTAGAACTTCCATGTAAACCAGACTGGCCTTAAACTCACAGAGATCCACCTGCCTCTGCCTCCTGGGTGTTGGGATTAAAGGCATGGGCCACTACGCCTGGCCCCATGAACTTTTAAAATATAGATCAGTGGGGATAATTCTTTTATTTAGTGGCCTTCTTAAAGTATAATTTACATACCACAAATCAATCCACTATAAGCAGAGATCACTAACATTTGTAGTAAATATACAAGGCTGAGCAGCTGTCACCACAGTCTAATTCTGTAACATTTCTGTCACCCCGTTTGCAATCAGTGACCCTATACATACTAATACCCTCTCAATTTTGTCTTGTCTTCAATGTTCTGAAACTCTCAAAATCTCACCCTTTTGAGACCTATCTTAATACAATAGCCCCCTTCAATTTAACCACTGTGTAATAATCCATTTGTGAATGTTCCGTCCATCTCAAGCGCCTCTCCTGTTGGAGATTCAGCTTTTCCAAGCAGTTAACCTGATTGAAGCTGCTTCCTGTTCATAGTCCCAGCACAGAGCTGCTGGGTCTTGGGGTTTGTGCATTTTCAACTCTGCATCTGCACCCCAGGAGCCCCATCAGTGGGTTCCCTCTGCTGTGTGCCTTGTTCAGTCTCTATTGTCAGGCCTTCTGATTTGTGCCAGTCTGCTGGTTGCCAAGTAGTGCCCCATGGTGGTGCTTGCTAATGAGGGGAAACGGCCTTTTGTGCCTTTATTGGCCATTTGAGAGCCCTCTTCTATGAACTGCCTCTATTTATCTTTGCCTCTGTCTCAGTGTGTTTTGACGTTTGTCTCCGCTTGATTTGAAAGATTTATTTATACCTCATAAATACTATTCTTTCAGGTGGTTGTGTTAATATTCTGTTTCCTCTTGAGGAGACTGCAAGCTTGGAGAGGTAGAGACATGTGCCTGAGTTCACACAGCAGGGAAAGACTATGGATTTGAGCTAGATGCCTTTGGGAGACACACAGCAACCCAGTGATCCTGCTGGGTGGGTTGGGTGACCTTGGGTGGCTCACTGTTGTTACTGAGTCCAGTCCTTCTGAAAGATACCAGGATCATTCTGGGCCCTTCTTTGCTCTCTCCATTCATTCAGCCTAGACTACTGACGTGCGAGTCACCAGCTGTGGTCTGTCCTTCCAGGGAAACTCTGGGTGGTTTATCCTCATGAAGCGATAGATTGGCAGGGTCTCCCTCCTTGATTAGCCATGCATGGGGAGCCTGGGAATCTCCATGTCTAGCTGAGTTTGAGGGTGGATCATTCCTCTGTTCTGTGCTGGTTGAACCCTCATGTCTGTTGTGTAGAGAGGTTTCTGGCTGCTAAGCTGGGTGGGCTGGAGATCTGCTGTCCACACACATCCACAGCTGGTTCCCT